GGTGTGTTTGGGAGGCCCTCCTACCCCACTATATATAGGGATCCCAAGGGGGGGTGCGCCAGCCCCTAGGAGATCCAATCTCCAAGGGGGCGGCGGCCAGGGGAGGAGTCCTCCCCCCCCAAGGCACCTAGGAGGTGCCTTCCCCTGCTGGGACTCTTCCTTTAGGGTTTCCCCAGGCGCATGGGCCTCTTGGGGCTGGTGCCCTTGGCCCATGTAGGCCAAGGCGCACCCCCTACAGCCCATGTGGCCCCCCGGGGCAGGTGGCCCCACCCGGTGGGCCCCCGGGACCCTTCCGGTGGTCCCGGTACAATACCGATGACCCCGAAACTTGTCCCGATGGCCGAAACAGGACTTCCTATATATAAATCTTTACCTCCGGACCATTCCGGAACTCCTCGTGACGTCCGGGATCTCATCCGGGACTCCGAACAACATTCGGTAACCACATACAAGCTTCCTTTATAACCCTAGCGTCATCGAACCTTAAGTGTGTAGACCCTACGGGTTCGGGAGACATGCAGACATGATCGAGACGTTCTCCGGTCAATAACCAACAGCGGGATCTGGATACCCATGTTGGCTCCCACATGTTCCACGATGATCTCATCGGATGAACCACGATGTCAAGGACTCAATCGATCCCGTATTCAATTCCCTTTGTCTATCGGTATGTTACTTGCCCGAGATTCGATCGTCGGTATCCAATACCTTGTTCAATCTCGTTACCGGCAAGTCACTTTACTCGTTCCGTAACACATCATCCCGTGATCAACTCCTTGGTCACATTGCGCATATGATGATGTCCTACCGAGTGGGCCCAGAGATACCTCTCCGTTTACACGGAGTGACAAATCCCAGTCTCGATCCGCATAAAACAATAGATACTTTTGGAGATGCCTGTAGTGTACCTTTATAGTCACCCAGTTATGTTGTGACGTTTGATACACCCAAGGCACTCCTACGGTATCCAGGAGTTACACGATCTCATGGTCAAAGGAAGAGATACTTGACATTGGCAAAGCTCTAGCAAATGAACTACACGATCTTTGTGCTAGTCTTAGGATTGGGTCTTGTCCATCACATCATTCTCCTAATGATGTGATCCCGTTATCAACGACATCCAATGTCCATAGCCAGGAAACCATGACTATCTGTTGATCACAACGAGCTAGTCAACTAGAGGCTCACTAGGGACATATTGTGGTCTATGTATTCACACGTGTATTACGATTTCCGGATAATACAGTTATAGCATGGATAAAAGACAATTATCATGAACAAGGAAATATAATAATAATACTTTTATTATTGCCTCTAGGGCATATTTCCAACATTTAGTTGCAAGTTAATGTTCCATAATTGAGTGTTTCTAATAGGCCCATTAATCCATGGATGTGGTCTTCTTTTGCAGACAAGTGCATCTACCTCAGATGAGGAGATCCAGTTTGATCCCCCGGAGCTCCGCTTTCCCTTGGTGCCAGATAAAAAGGTGTTATCCTCCGTCAAAGTAATCAACAATACAGAATTGTATATCAGTATAGCCTTATCTTCTCCAGAAGGTAACTCGGCAGCGTACTCCCAAAGCTGTCCCAGATCGATCATGCCACCACGGTCCACACAATGGCTCACAGTAATAAGAGAAGAAAAGGAAAATGAACAATGGTTCAAACAATGGCTCAAACAATGGCTCGATGACCAAGTCTCCGTGTGGTATGCAATTGTGGCCGAAGATATCAAAGTCTCCGACCTTGATTGGAAGGATTACAACGAATATAAGAAGTTGCCTGTCGTTCTAACAAAGGTATGTACACTATTTTTCTTTCGAGAAAGTTCACTAATTAGATCAAATGGCACTTTTTCCCTCTAAAATTCTAATAGTCTAGTATTATTATTTTCAAAAAAAGGATAACCCCCGGCCTCTGCATCAGGTCGCTATGCATCAAGTCGCTGCATGCAACCATATACGTATTATTAAGAATGCAAAATCCAATAGCCGAACAGCAAAGCGAGAAGAAAACTCGATGCCTCTTGCTTCGCGACACTACTCCACCAGATAGCCTATAAGCGTATGTTACAAGACAACATCAAAACGAAAAATACACAACTCATAGGCTACGCATTCAAAAAGGAATCGCCACATGTGCGCCGATGATGGCAAGTCCAACACAAGGTTGAACTCCGAATTCTCATCCCTAAAGCCAAGCTTCAATCCATCACCTTTACAAGGTCACGACGTAGGCGTGCGTCGACATACCCTGATCAGAGATCTTGCGTTTCCACTGGAGTGTATAAACTCGTCGTTGAAGCTGTCTGTAGCATCACCCCTTATCCGGCAACCGATGCCTCGATAACCGGACCACTCGAGAAGACACCGGAAGACACCGGCGTCCCATAACGCCTGCCTCCTGCCACAGTCGCACCACATTCGATCCAGTAGCAACAGGCTAAACATGACACCTCCGCCAGAGCCACCGTGCATCACCTGCCGGTAGCAGGCCTGACTTGACGCCTTTGCATGAGAAGTTCTACGTAGCATTCACCGGCATTACCCGATGTCTCTAGAGGAGACACATGTGTCACCTGCTGAGCCACATCAAACCTGATATGAGTGAATTGCAAGAAACCACCACATTTGGGGCTTATCTTACAGAAAACAACATGGTTGCTAATTATTTGCAAAAGCCACCGCGGATTCAGTAAAAGTGTTACAGATTGCACTGAACATGTAATTTGGGGCAGTTGAGGGCGTTTCCGACAGGTGGGGCCCAAAATAATCACACACAGACCCCTATTAGATTTTAAAAAAATCAATCAGCCCCCTGGACCATGCCCCCGCCGCCGGAAGACGCCCGCCGACCGGGCGGTCGCGGAGACGAGGAGGAGGTGGAGCGAGGAGGAGATGGATAGGAGTGAGCCGGCGAGCGCGGCGTGCGCGTCGCGGTGGCCTACGGCGACGGTGAGCAGGCCGGCGCGTCCCCGGCAGAGCGCCATGGCCTCCTGCTCCGTGAAGACCCCTCGCGGTCTCCCCTTTTTCTGCCTGTCTCTCGTCCCCATCTCTGAAGCTCTCTGTCTTTTGAACAGAGGATGTGCGCCGCCGCCTCCTTCAGTTCGTCACGCCGCCACCTAGTTCGCCGGATTCGCTGTCTGCCGGCCCCCTTCTCCGCCTGGAGCTTCGTCACCTGCACCCGTGCCCCGATCCGGTCGTCCCCGCCGCCAAACTCTACGTCCTTGCAGTCCCGCGCCGCCGCTGCTTCATGTCGAGCGAGCAGAGGACCGCGTCGTCCCTGCCTCGCCCGCTCTTGGACCTCTGCGTCGTCCTCACCGCCCACTGGTGAGCTCCTTGCGCCGCCTCCGGTCCCTTTCTTATCCTCGTGTTGCGCCGCTGCTGACTTCTCCGCCTCGCCGTCGTTTTGCTGCAGGAGCCGAGGCCGTCGCCCCCTCTCAGTTCGTCGCGCCGCCTCCAGTTCCGCCGGATCCGCTGCCTGCAGGCCCTTGCTGGCCGGATCCCGCCGCCGCGCTGCCGTTCCTCGCATGCAGCTCCGCCCAGCTGCCGCCGTCCTGCTTCTTCCCGGCGAGAGGAAGGAGATGCCCTCCGTGGGGGAGGGGGGCTTGATTGCTTTTCTTTTATAAGGTCCAGGGAGGTATATGTCAATTTGTTGCCAAATCAGCTCCTTACAGTCCGGCCCCACTAGTCAGAAAATGGTTAAACAAGCTAAATCACCTGTTTAGTGCTTTTTGCAAAATGTTTACTGAATCTGCGGTAATTTTTGCAAATGATTAGCGACCAGGTGGTTTTCTGCAAAATAAACCCCAAATGTGATGGTTTCTTGCAATTCACTCAACCTGATATATTGATGGATGAGACGTCCCATACCTTCGCCAGCCTCAGAAATGCCGTCACCACCTTGATATCTAGTCTGCGAGTCACCCAAACGACCATGGAGTTCGCCGCCATCAAAGAAGAAGGGCAACCGCTTCAATTCCGGGCACTATAGGAGCACCCGGAAAGTTCCTTGCTAGCTCGGCCTACGCGGTACCGCTTATCTGCAACGTTGGCATTTTGTGGAGATCTGTGCTACCACTAGCATCAGCAGGGCTATTTCTTGTGGCACCGACTCATTAGTCAGAGAGATAGCAGGGCTATGTGAATAGTAACGAGATTCCTCGTAGGTCCACTGATGTACCAGTCCGCCTCGTGTAACAGTCTAGCCGGAAAGCGGGCGGTCCCGGGGCCCACACGCATGTCTTTTCAGCAGCCCATCCTTCCCTGTCTAGAGCAGTTCAGCCATATTCCCCCACCCTCCACATAGATCGACAGTCCCTCTCTCTCTTGCCTCTCACATGCAGCTCTCTCTGAGAGTCTTTCTCTCTGACAATCAACTCTCCCTCTCTCTAAAAAGGATTCTTGGTCACACGCAATATTCTCTTCCTCTATCATGGCTCTCTTTATTTTCACTCACAAAAAACTGATTTCTTCTCTTCCCCTCTCACGACTCTTTCTTTATTTCCTCTTACAAAAAAAGTTTTCTTCCCTTCCTCTCTCACGTCTCTCTTTATTTTCTCTCAAAAAAAAATCAGATTTCTCTCACACACGCTCTTCCTTCAACTTCTCAAAAAGGATTCTTCTCTCTATAGTTTCTCTCCACATTTCGGTCAAGCAGCAGCATGGTTTGGCCCACTATCTTTGTGTCATGTCAAGTGGTTATCGTTGTCAAGCAGCATGTGCAGCAACGCCCGGCTCTCTTCCACTGTACCCACGTGAGAGAGAGGAGAAAGGTGAGACTTTCTTTTTTGTGAGACAGAGACAAGTCCCGTCAGTGTATTAAGAAGTGAGCGAGCCAAGACCGCAGTAGCTGGGCGCACGTCAGGTCATGTCGTGAACAATGACCTACTAAGGCCCACCCAAATTTCGAAATTGGTAGGCTTCACGGCAGATGATCAAGGATTAAGCGCTGGCACAAACTGCTGAGTGCACATATCCACATGAGACATGAGAACGAATGAAAGGCTATGATAAGGGGTACCGCGTAGCTCCAGCTATGAAAAACCGTTCTCGCCGGAGAACCCACCACCTCGCCACGCCGCGCCAGCCGCTGTCGTCGCCCTACAATGGCAACCGCCACCACGATGGTCAGATCCGGGCACTAGTGCCTGAATCCCACACGCTTTGTCCCTTGGTCAGCCGCGCTCGTCCTGCCGTCGCGTTGTCACGTAGGCCTTCATCAGATCCGCAAACCGGTCAACAACCATCGGCCAATTCCCTCCCTCAGGGCCGACGCGAGCCGCTCCGTGACGGCCGCCGAACGCCTGACTTCGTCACACTACCCATCCTGCCAGATCCGAAGCTGATCCGCAGGACACGCACCACCGTGCACACCTGCGACCAGCCGGAGATGATCCTGGCCTCCGCCTTCCCCAGAGCGATGCGAACTTTGCTAGAGGGCGCCTCAGGCGTCGGCAAGGGGAGGAAGGTGCGGCGGGGCCAGGAAGGTGCAGCGAGGAGAGGCGTGGCGGTGGAGGAGGGATCCAGCGGTGTTATTGGGTGGCGGGACGCTTGGTCGCGAGTTGCCTGGTCGTGAGTTAGTGGAAGTTAGGTCTAGTTACCCCTTCAATCTGTGTCTTTTCCCTTTCTAGATTTTTTTTATTTTTCCAATCAAGGGCAAGGAGTTCCCACATTACATTATGAGAAGAGTTGTCCAATTTATTATGAAAAACTGTACAAAAACCCAAACAAGAACAAAAGGTGGGCTTAGAGCATCTCCAGCCATTCGGCCCCTCAGGGACGCCCAAATAGCGCCGCGTGGGGGTGACCCGGCGAAAACCGCGCCTTGGGGGCATTTTCCCCCAGCCGCCGACCCCCCACGACGCTTTTTCATTTTTCAACCCCCAACGCCGCGCACTTCCCCTCATCGGGCCCATTGGTCGTCGTCCCATTGCCCCTAGCGCACCCTCGCTCGCCTCCTTCCTCGCCGAAGGCGCCGGCTAGTTGAACATACATAATGAAAATGATACATAGATAGTTCATCATAGCAAAGACTGTTAAAGATCAACTACTCGTCGTTTTCCGGCTAAGACTCGGTAATGTCCTCCTCCGACGTCTGCAAGTAGGCGTCGGCATACCGCTCGTCTTCGGAGTCCCAGGACGACGCTTCTCCTAGCTTCATGTTCAATTGAGCGGCCTGCTTCCGCGCATGCTTGTCCTCCCGATAGGAGGCTCGCTCCTTCCTCCTCGCCTCCCTCTCCGTCCTCCGTTGCTTGTAAAACTGGCGCTCGTTGATGATGTCCTACGGGAAGCGTTCACGCCACTCCGCCATGGCTTCCACATCCATCTTCGTGATGGCGAGGCGACGCTGGCACCTTCGGTTCTCAAGACAGTCCTCGTCGGTGAAAAGCCGCGGGAGATGTGCGAGATCCTGCGCCCGCTGGCTCGTCGACACGTCGGGGAAATTCATATCCCGAGCGCCACGCTGTCGCGTCGTACGCGTGGGCCTCCTCCTCTACGGTGTCAAAGTGACGAGGCTGAGGCGTTTTTCGCCAAACGAGATTTCGGAGGAGAAGACGCCGGAGCGGCGCTCACGGACTCCGTGAAAATCAGTAGCGCCCAAGCGGCGCATCGACATGG